TATTAAAACTTTGTTCTCCTATAGATTGTCATTTTAATCATACGTGGTATTTTAATGATGCATTAACTGACCAGTAAATATATGGGGGAACTTCTCCCCCCAGTAATGGAGCTTAATAACTGATGAAAAGGAATTTGTTTCTTTGATGGTCTTGAGAAGAAAGCTTACCTTGATTTTTATCTTCTACTATATACCTAAATACATGAGGCATACTGCATGAAAATACTTATATTAGGTGGTGTAGTGGCTTTTGGTATTAGTAAACAAAAGCCATGAGACCCAATGTGGTGCTTAGGAAAAAATTCAAATTTCTCTTAAAGCCCCAGACCTGAGGGAATGTACCTATGAGGAGACTGCTAAGATTTGCTCCAAGTGCATGTGGCAGCAGTTGCCCGGTGGAAGGAGAAAGAAATTGTCGATTAAACTGTCCTTGAGGAACAGCAGCGGTCCCTGAGTCATCCGTTATCAGTTGTTTGGTGTTTTGGATTGTTTGGGTTTATTTCTTTAGAATCACAGAATGTTTATGTTGGAAGGGACCTCTGAAGATCATCTAGTTCAAGTGCCCTGCCATGGGCAGGGAGATCTTCCACTAGATCGAGTTGCTCAAAGGCTGGTCCTATTTGGCCTGGAACACTTCCAATGATGGAGCAATCTGCAGCTGAGATGGATGATCAGGAGGTGGTAAAAGACAAATGCAAGGAACTGTTCTTCTCAGAGAGCCTATGGACTTGTGTTGCTCTCCTCTTGAAAAAGCTTCTCTTCAGATAATTCTTCTTAAACTGTTTTCCTCTGTTGCATAATCTTGTCGGGACCTTCCTTCTGAGCTTAGCAAAGTCCAGGTTGAATGCTTACCTATGTTTTCATATGCAGAAATACCTTGTGGCAAATACTTGGAATGAAAATCCTTTTAACGTTAACTCTAGAGCAGGGGCTTTACTTTCAACTGTTAGATAGGTTTTGTTCCCAGTGTACTTAGCATAATGGTGTTACATACAGTGTGTGAGGAAAGGTTTTGATATTGGAAAGGAGACCACTGCCAAGGCAAGCATTTGAGTGGTGATACTGGGTGGGAACGTGCGTCAGCTTTGGCTCTCCTTGTTCCTTAGAATCACTACTAAAGAGTTGCTTGACTGATATTTCTTCATTTTTACATAGCATGCTTTATGCAGAAATAACGTGTAATTATGGTCAAATAACTCGGGCATTCCAATGCAACTCCAGATGTGCTCACACAGTTCCCAGGAACAATCATCTTTTACTTGGCCACCAGGCAAATCCAGCACAACCGTTTGGCTTAACACATGGAGAGCAGTTTGGTTCCTTCCCAGTTAAGAGGCTCCGAGATCTCACTTGTGGCTGTATTTGCAGAAGTGAGGTCAAAGAATTTGCAAAAGCCAGAAATTTCCTCGGTGTAGCCAACTTTAAGAAATAATGGTGACAAGTGAAGCCACACCTTTGTGGGTGCTGTCCTGCTGGCAAGCTAATAGTGCCTACGCCTTCTTGAGAAGATAGGGTGGTGGAGTGGAGCTGGCTGGCATGGAAGCACTCTGTAGATGGAGTACATTGCAAGTCAGTAGTTGAGAGGAAGGAAGCCTGCAAAGGAGAATTTTTCTTTGTATTGGCTTAGGGGTGGATCTCTGTTATGTTCAGATTATTTGCTTTAACTGAGAATTTATTTGCTTTTTTATGTATTTAGCTTTGAACACTTTTTTTAAGGCTTGCTCTGTGCCCCTGTGTGGATTTACAGCTTTTTCTTTGCAACCTTGCTGGCCAGACTGTTGTTCCTCCTTCTGGTGTAGGGTGTCACATCATTTCTGTAAGCCAAACAGACCCAGGCTGGTCAAGGAAGCTTCTCCACTGAAGCAGTGCTGAGCATGGCTGCCTGCAGGGAGAAGCTGGGAGGGTGCCTCATGTCCACAGCAGCCTTGCAGCCTGTGCTGGCTGGAGGATGGAGATGTGTAGGGTTTGCTGCAGGGTGGGAGTACCAACTGGGCGTGGGGGTCCAAAGTGCCTGGCTTTCTTACCATGGCAGAATGCACTTTCCTTGCTGGCTCTTTGCCAGGCTGCTTGTCAGCCGTCTGCATCAGTGATTTGACCTGACGTGTATTTTGCTGCTTGCTAGAGAGACTAGTTAAAATTAGGGAGAAAAGTGAACTCTGAAGAGCTTGGCAAAATGATGGATTATGAATGTCGGATGAAACCGCACATATTTGGCTTTTGGACTCTTGAAGCTCTGCCAGGCATGCTGATGCTTGCAGCAATTCACCAAACTTTATTATGTATAGAAAACACGTGAGAAGTCTGTGAATGATGAACTGAAGTTAAATGTAAAAACGTGTGAACTCTGAATTTGTTTCTCTCTTTCTAGCTGTAGGCTAAAGCTTTTGATGAGCTCAAATTAAATTACTTAAGGATGCCCGTTCAGTCAGTCTGTCTGTTGGCAAGATACTCTGTGGTTTACTTGGAATTGTTGGCACACATCTGAAGTTGTTTTTTTTTTCTTTTCTTATTAAAATTAGCAGGAGATCTTCTGTGTGTTAGGACAGCTTTGAAGATTCACTCAGTGTTTCCAGAGGCAAGAGTAGTAGTTGTTTCTAAAGCTAGATGCATAAATGCAATATATTCAGTACTGCACTTGGATTAGGAAATATCTTGTTTACTTTGTTTCAGCCTTCTTGGCTTAATGTTTCTTCACACTTTTGGCTTATTTTCTTTCGTAAAGTTTGGGATACGGTTTATAGAGAAGTACAGTGTCCACACTACCAGCTCATTGCAGTTGCATTTGGAGAGAGATTTTTAATATGGGAGGCTAATCACATTAACAGTCATGCAGATGTTCAGATTTGGGGTCTCTCAAAGGCAGCTGCAATTCTTTTGCCTCCCCTTCTGCTACCCATCCACGTGGGTGGTGTGGTGGGAGGCCAGGCGAGTGGAGAGCTTGATGTACATTCAGGTGCCTGTCCATATGACTTCAGGAGATAGGCAGAGTACTCCAAGTTTAGACTGGGTCTGAGTGAGGATGATGCTTCTACAAAGCAGAAGAAGATAATGTTGATCATGCTAGGAAACTGGAAGCTGCAAGAGAAGTCCCGTTTTATTGCCAGTAATCCTGGGTCAGATGTCACTGAAGAGACTGGCACTAGGTGACAAGTCAATTAGTGCTGGGGTGTGTTCTGGCTGACTGTTGTCTGTAGTTATCTCCCGTAGGTTATTGTGGCATAATGCACACAAACCACAAAATATCCCACATAAGGAAACGCAGTCTTCCACAGAAACTAGAAATGATTGTTTTTCTTTGGGGGATTAAAATTTGGTCTTTAAAAACACAGAGAACATATGTAATTGCTCAATGAGTCCCTCCAGAGTTTGTATCTGATCAGATTCTGTAGAATTACACTGTTGGAAAATGCTGCTTGTGATTTAATCACAAATCCTAACAGAGGGTTATATTCAGTATCACCGTAGTGAGCAATAGCTCTTCCATGAGCACTGAAGTAACCAAAGAACATGAAACCCACAAATCCATTTACAGTGTGCTGGAGAGCACTGCACAAGCTCTCTGTTTTAGCAAGCTGTTTTCCTACACAAGTTAAGTTTCTGGTCTAAATTGAGTTTGCCATGAGTTAATAGGCTGCAACTTTAACATCAGCGTCATGTGTGACTAAACTCCTGAAGCTGGAGCAGTGGTGTTTGATAAGTACCAGTGGACAGTGTTCTAGGCAGTGTCAGAAAACAAAACTGAGGAGCATAATGTGAAACCTCTGACCAAGTTCTAGCTGTGGAACTGCAGCCTGAATTTTGAACTACAGGTTGTGGGAGTTGTGAAAGTCTCGGAGGCGGTGGTTTGAGAGCCTCCAACAAAAGGCACTGCATATCACCAGGAGTCCAGCTGGGGGGTCTTCAAAGGCAGCACCCTTGTGATGCATTTCTGTGTGTGGCTTCTGCTGTTGTGTGGCAGGCGGCACATGGCACCTGGGGGCTCTTTGGTCTTTGACACTTCCTAACAGCACAAAGCATCCCCTGCCAAGCAGGTGTTGGGAAGTAGCTTCTATCAGCAAGTATTGAAGGTCTGGGTGGCTGTTCAGTTGCTGTACTTGCTGGTGCTCTAAAAGTCCTTACGGGAGCTTTGGTAGTAAGTATGCATGGAGATTAGAAAGTTTGACATGAGTGTTCCAGGTTTGACTGCTTTCAGATAGTCTCCGTGAGGGAAGGGGTGTTCACCAGTGCTCGGGCACAATGCTGGCAGCGCTGCTGTTGCACGCTTGTTGGATTGAGGCCTCCACCGGTGTGTCACCGGGTGAGGACATGGGTCACAGCCTGTGGCAGGGACAGGGGTGAGGAGGCAGAGGTACTGAGGCAGGTACACAGCTGGGCAGGACAGGAAGAAAAGGTGGCAGCAGAGCTGAATCAAGGCGGGGTGGAAACCCCTGTGCTGTGTTCAGAACTGGAGTGTGTTAGTAGTGGCACTGGTGCGGTCTGTAAAAACAGAATGGGCTTTCTGGGTGTAAATGAGGCTCCATCCTGCTAGTCTTAAATAAATCCTACCAGTGATGGGTGTAAATATTTGTAGAATGACTGGGTTTTTTGTTTGGTTGGTTTTTGTCTTCAGCAAAGGCCACCACTCATGGGATGACAGGAGTTTTTTTTGTGGTTCGTAGCTTGCTTACAGTTCAAATTTCTTTTGTCTAAAAAACATTATGTGGAGGCAAATACAAATTCAGGAACATTTTTGTGAAAAATCCATGATTAGAAATGGAGGGGAAATTTTTTTCAAGGCCCATTTCAAAGAATTTCAATTTATTCAAGAGGAAATAAGCATGCAGACATCTTTTGTGATATTACCACATTTATAGCAATGCTTTTTTAAGTTTCTGTGAAGTTCAGTCTGACGCCCCTTCTTTTTTTTCCCACTTGATGCTTAAAGTTATGTGCCAATGTGTTTGTGTGTGACCAAAGCCTTAACATTTGTTTATTTTGTTTTTATTATTTACAAGGTGGAGTATATGTTAGTAAAATTTGACCATGAGAATAAGAAAGTGCGTTTGCTGCTCTGCGGTGAAGATGTTCTTCAAACGCTGCAAGACAAGGGGGAGAAGGTAAACCCCAAGTGAGTAGCTGTTTCCTTTTTTTTCTCTTGTTTTTTTTTGGGGGTGTGTGTGTTTTTTTCTGTATGATACTTTACAGAATTTTGTAGACCCGGCTTAACTTTCAAGTCTGCTTTCAGTAAAACTGTAAGGCACAGATACTGATATTTTGAGGCAAAGCTGGAGTGCCAGAAGCGAAAGATGTTGAGCATGCTTGCAGGCAGTCTGTGCACCTTTTGTGCTATGACTTCAACAAAAGGAGGATGCAATGGTGAACCTGCAGAAGTTGCACTTTCGGTGTCTGATTTGTCTTGCTCTGGTTTTGTGTCTGTGTGTACACAGTAACTGGGTACTGCACCTCACCTGCCCCATAACCCACGTGTGTGCACTCACCTCTGTATCCCTCACTGCAGGAGCAAGGGAGGGCTGCACAGGGTGGCTCGTTGACTAGGAGCACTCACCCATTTTTGCTGGAATTAGGAAGGTAGGTTTAAGACTGCCAGGGCAGCTCTTCTCCATGCTCTTCATGGAATTTTGAGCAATAGTTGTGTCATGCCCCTACTTCAACTAGCCACAGAAGTGTGAATAACCTTTTAATTGATGACAGCAGAGAGATGAGACAGCCAAATGCTTTGGCTGAAGACCACCAAAAGCAGGTCACAACTTACAGGAAGGTGGAGAAACTCTGCTATTGTGATGCCATGGGCCTATCTGCTTCTTTCTAGGTACCTTAACCTTGTCTCCCTGAAGTAAGGCTTCCCTGTCACTCTTCCTCAGCAGAGGGACTGTTGAAAACCTGCAAGAAGGAATCCCTTTGCCTTTAGGCTCAAAACTGCTGTTGGAAGAAGAACAGTAGGGAAGGTGTGGCTCTGCCTCTGATAGAGATGGCTTCACAAGGGCATGGGAGGGCATTAATTCTCAGGGGTGACTAGGTGCACTCAAACTTCATTTCGTTTCTGAGCCTAATCAGTTTCTGAAGCAAGACCAAGTATTCTCAGGCAGTAGAAAGAAGACGTTGAGCATAGTTTTTGCCTGGCCTTGTACCGTGGAAGCAGTTACTGTTCTGTATTTTCCAGTTTCAGTTAAAACCCCAAGAAACAAAGCATGAGACAGATACTAAAGGTGGTTGCCATCTGACACAGGCAGATCTTACTTACTGCACTGTACAGCAACATCTCCTACTGCCAAATTGTGATTTAATTTCTTTTCACCACCTCCTGGCATTGAGGTGCATTGGAAGGTACATTGTGTTACTCTCTCACATAATCAACTTGAAGAGATTTTTCTTGAAGGTGCGTTCACTTCTGAAATCCATCTTTTTTTGAAGTTGTAGAAATATTTAAACGGGGATATTCTTTCATTGTAGCCACCCAACACTCTGGCGACCAGAATATGGCAGCTATATGATTGAAGGGACGCCTGGGCAGCCGTACGGGGGAACCATGTCAGAATTCAACACTGTGCAAGACAACATGAGGAGACGACGGCAGGAAGCTGCTTCTGTTCTCAGAGAAAACGAGGCCGTTTGCACGGTCACGTCGTTTCCAAGGTGGGATGGCTGCTGAGGTGTACTGCTCTGCTTGCTGTTCTCCCTATATGCTTTTTCTCCTATTGCATGTAGCTAAGCTGTACAGTGAAGCCAAGCAAAGTACAATTCGTCTGAAGTACTTTGAGTTAATGCTCCAGTCATGTTTCCCAAAATTTTTATTGCAGTGAGACCATTAAGCCTATTTTATATTTTCAGCTTACTTCTAATTTGCAGTGAATTTGTATTAGGAGAGAAAACATGAATATGTGTAACATCAAGTATTGTATATAGAGTAGTCTGCCATCTTGAATTGATACGGCAAATCATATATGAAGAGTTTCTCTGTACCTACTTTGCAACCTTTGATCTTTATAAACAGCAGTTTTGTAAAACATGACTAACCTGACCTATTTTTTAACACTTTTTTCACTAAAGCATGTGCAAACTTCTTTTGACGGCTTGGAGCACACAGTAGAACAGGAATGTAATTATCCTTACAAAATGAAGACTTTAAACTTCTGTAATACTGTAGTTAGTGAATCTAGAAAGGACCACACATTTCCTAGGTTCATAACAGCTTTACAAAGGGTTCCTTCTTTTGACTGTTGTAAAGAGACTCTTGAAGAAATTGAATTCAGGATGTACTTCATTACCTAGGAGAAACTGTACTTTGTGACCTTCCATTCAAACATAATTCTAGGCAGAGATTTATTATATTCATTCTAGCCTGATCAATCAAATGAATGAAGATAGTTATCCTTAAAATAGTAAAAAAAAAAAAATAAAAAAATTGCTCTGCAGTAGAAGAGGAGCAGCTGGCCTTCCTTGCTGGTTTCTAACTGGCTTGGTTACTTGTATAGTACAAAATGCAATGGCCCTAAATTGTTGCTGAGAGCAAGGAAGGTACAAAATGTGACTTAGCAGTGAAGTTCAGGTACCAAAAAGCCTGAGATACGCTATTTTAGGAACAGTCTCTTGACAAAATACACTTCCTCTTTATGGGAGCTATGTTATGTACTTTTAAAATAACAAGATCTTATTTGAAGTCCAATGATTAAATAGTTCTCAGTGTTGACAAAGTAGGTTTGTGTGTGGTGGGTTTTTTTTTTCCCTGCAACCTTACAAATATGTTCTGTTGTTTAATAAATTGGGTGTACAAACATTTCAGACCCAGTCATGCCAGGAATAAAGGGAGAGTTCTTCATTGCTGTGTAGACAGAGAAGTACTTTTTACATCACTGTAGGAGCAATACATTGGACTTCAGTAAAAGCCAGTAAATAATAAAATTTTGTCTATTACATATGGTTCATTCCAAACACAGCTTCATCTTTCAGCGATTGCTCTCCCTAGGCTATTTAGTTTATTTCCACCTTTTGCTATCTTGCCATTCAAATCCTGGTTGATTTGACTGGAGTGATGCTAACTTATTTCTGAAGCTTTGTGGGCTTGGTTTTTTTCCTACTTTCTCTCTACAATAGCATGTACATATGTCTGTGTGCATCTCTGCACATACATGTGTGTATAATATATTGTGGCTATAGCTAAAAAAAAAAATCTATGTGCCTGAAGAGACAAAAGAACTTGTTAGAATGTTGACAGAAGGCTTATGCAAATTAAAATAACTCAGTTGAAAATTAACAAACCTTTATGCATAAATAATTAAAATTAAAAAATACTAGTTTAGAAGCTAAGTGGGTATCCCTAGGTCTTAAATCTGCACACTCTCTACTGGACCAGAAAGCTGCTTTCCTTGTTGAGGACTAGAGTGATGCATTTTAGTGTTACACTTGCATAAGTGATTAAGTTAGATTTAGATCTTGTAAATCTACTTGTAAAACAACTTGTATACTTAAACCAGGAAGAAGAAGCCAGTAGTTAAGTACATGTTGAGCATAAGTAATATTTCCAGAAATGTGAGCGTTTCCTGGTATTTTGAGTAGTTTTCTTGTAGTTGTATCAGCTAATCCTTTTTTATACATCAAAGTACTAGAGCTTCTCAATAGCACAACCTTTGTCCTTTATACTGTCCAGCAAGGAGAAATGAATCTTCTGCAACTTTACTTCTGATTTCTCGAATGCTCCTTTCTCTCAGTTGTTCTGAAAAACTACTATTTTTGTTTCAGATAACTGTTAAATTTAAAACAGAAATTCCAAAGGGGAAGGTTGTTTTCTGATTTGTTTGCATCTCTCTCAACATTTTACACCTAATAGCTGTAATTTTTCTTTGCTTATTATGTTTCTTTCATTTATGTTTTTGTTTTTTTTTTTTCAGAGTTCCAAAATCACAAATTGCTGTGAGGCATGAGGTGTGTGTATCACTTGAAACTGCCTCTGATTCTTGCAGAATTGGTTAGATGCATCACTTTTAGCAGGAGTAGATTGTTGGGAGCAGAGTTGGACAAACTGCTTCAGCAATCAGTGTTAACATATACGTTCTAGAGAAACTGCCTTAAAAGGCACAGAATGTAGCTGCATGTCAGTGTTCTTGACAAATGCTAATGCACTAAAATGTGTGTGTACTTTGCATAATACTGTGGAGTTTCCTGCTTCAGCCACTGAAAAGGTGCATGTTTACTGTCCGATGAGAGAGTAGCTGTTTAAAAAGAAAGGTCTGTTTTAACCACCATGGAAGCTGGTTGTTGGCAAGTGCTGACCTTTCAATGGCAACCATTTTAAGACCTCTTTCTGGCAGTTCCAAATGCATAGGTAGCAGACTTGAAAAGCACTTGAGAAATAACCATGGTAGATGCGAGGGTTTTTTAAAAAAATCTCTTGTTATCCCTTTGTCTACTGGAATCCTAATCCCTGGTCATCTGACTGGTTTCAAATCACAGTATGTTTTCATTACAGCTTGGATCTCTTTGTTGTGTTACATTAGGTTAGGGTGTCCTGGGTTTACGCTGCCGGAATACAAGCCAACACCAGTAGAAGGAGGAGCTTCAAAATCCCTCTTTTTTCCAGATGAAGCCATCAATAAACATCCTAGATTTAGGTAAGAATATTTGGAGAGTATGAATGAGAAGCTGGATATTTTTCAGCACCTAAATGTTATAGCCATACCTATAGCTTTTTTATGTTCCTGGAGAGAGCCGTGTGGCTAGTTGCTGCAGACATCACAAGGACTTGGACAGAGATGGTTGCTGTAACATATTTTCTATCAAAGTGACTTAAGTAAACTGTTAAGCTAAAGTAAATTTATACACAGTATAAAGTTCACACAGTAGTTCACACCATTATGGGGCAAAAAGTGTTGCTGGTGTGAATGCAGAATTGTGTGCAGTTTGAAATCTGACGGCTGACCACTGCCACCGCAGTCAATCCAGCTCAGTGTGTCACAGCAACATCTCGGTGCACTCAGTAGCTTGCCCTAGTTGCAGCGAGGGGCAGCATGTTGTCAGGCTATTTGTATAGTCTCAGAGGGGGTTTCATAAGGTGAGATTTAGGAGAGAGAAAAATGGCACTGTTTAAACACCAAGCATGCCTTTTCATTTGCCCTTGTATTTTTCAGGTCAGTAGCCTTTAACTTCTGCCTGTTCTGTTAGTGTAGTACTGTGAAGTCTTGTCAAAATAAGACTGACTTTACTGAAGAAAAAGTCAGTGTTATATCTGTTATGGTCGATCTTAAACTAGGAAAAGAAGTGTCCTGAAGGAAAATGTCCAAAATAAACAGAAAGTTGACATCCTGAAACTCTTGAGAAATGCTGAGAAACTAACGGCTGAAACATTTGCGTAAAGAGAAACTTTCAGATATTTCATCAAACTTTCTGTTGTTGTAGTACACTGACTAGAAACATTCGGCACCGAAGAGGAGAGAAAGTTGTGATAAATGTGCCAAGTGAGTAAATTCGAGCCATCTTTTTTTCTTTTCTCAATAATTGTTCAGTCCAATGCTCTGGGTTACTGAGTGCCTGCATTTTCCACACAGTATTTAAAGATAAGAACACGCCATCACCATTCATCGAAACATTTCCTAATGATGATGGAGAAGCAGCAAAGGCAGCTAAGCCAGACTACATATACATGGATGCTATGGGGTTTGGAATGGGAAACTGTTGTCTTCAGGTAAAAACACTTCTGCTTTCAAGATGTTGCTGAATGTTGTCTTCCCTAAACGCTTTGAGACTTGCTCTATGTCTAATATCTCTAGCTTAATTCAGTGGGTGCATTTTCAGAGTAGCAAAAGGGGGAAAGAAACAATCTTCTAGCTGATAATCCAGTCCTAAAATCCTGGTTTGTTTGCTTGCATGATATTTATTTTCTGCTGACATTCAAATGTAATTGGGTGCCTTGCTGAAAGGGTTTCTTGAACTGGTCAAACCCCATCTGACCAAGCAGCTGCTCCTGGAACCCATGTGCTTTTCAGGGGTGAAAGATCATCCTCCGCTTTGTGCATCTTTCAGGCATGACGAAACAACATTGTGAGAATGGAAAGCAAGCTGTCTTGTAGGAAAGTGTGTGGAGTTTTTTGGTTATTCATTTGTTATGGTTTTTTTCCCCCCTCTTCTTCGGTTGAACAGCAAAAGCAGAGAGTGACAATTCATCATTGGAATATCTTAAAAAATAAGTAGCTTTCTTCTCCTGCGTACTTTTGTTTATGAAGAGCATGAACTTCTGTATAAAATCTCTCAAATACTGTTAGCTAAGAAGTCTTCTCACTGCTTGCACCATGAACATACAAAATCCCCATGGGTCTTCTGTGTGCTGGGAGACGTTCTTGGTTCTGTTTTCTCCCATTAACGCTTGCCCACTTCTTACTGTTTTCAGTCATTCCCCTGAGTTACTGCTGTCCCACAGCACCTGGATTTAAACAGAGGGTACTGTATCTGTGGAGTGCTTGAATCCTTTCATTATCGGTTTGTTTTAAATCTTTCTTAATCATAGTAATCTGATGCTAGGGGCTTATGCCTTAGGTGGTAGCAATGTATTTGACTGCGGATAAAAATCTGCCTGTTGTCACTGCCATCTTGGAGGCAGAGCTAGGAAGAGGCTCATGTTAAATCTCTAGGGGATTAAAGGAAATTCTCCAAGCTCTTCTTGTGTCACAGCAGTGGCAGAAAAAACCTCACTCAAAGCACTTCCCTTTGAGATTTGAGAAACTACAAAAGCTGAATAAATAAAATGTTCCTGGCAGCAGCTAAGTATGGTTCCTTGTCACTAAGGGTGAACAAGGGAGAATCTGAAGTAGTAAAGTGCACATAATACTGTGTAGTTTTGCAAAGTGTTAAGTTTGAGATGGTCTATTTTTTTACCATCTCTTTATTTAAGACCAATGAAAGAAATACAGACCTGCAATTCAGTCATTGTGTGAACTTGTTTAAACATACATTAAATCCCTTTTTAAAGAATACCATTGTACTAGTCTCCTTTTCTGTAATCAGTGATCAAGTTCGGTAGTCTTGTTGTCAAAGAGAGAATGAAAACAAGGCTGGCAGGTGCTGTGAGCATCTGCTTGTGTGTTAACTGATAATTCTTGATAACTGACTAGAAGAAAATACATTTCCCACCTATTTTCTGTAACACAATTTGCAGTAAGCACACTTTCTTTGATTATTTTTTTTTCCCCTCACTATGCACCAGGCTACATCTTGGTTTGATGTTTCCAAGGTTAGAAATACTGCCCTGATGAGCTCGTGGGGACAGCCAGCAGCAGCGGTGGGGTGGGAGGTGCTGCCCCTGCCAACAGGATGGCAAACCCTTGTGCTTCTGCCCCTTTCGAGGCTTCGCGTCCCTGTGCCTGCTGAGCCTTGTGCTCGTGGGTGCTGCTTTCTGCAGCCCCTGCAGTGCCTGCAGCCCTCTGGAGAAGGCCTCTGCCATGCCCTTTTCTTCTGTAATGAGATGTTTGGCTAGGAACTGGGTCAAATCCCAGATTTAATGTGATTTGGAATAAACATAAAAGGCAAGGAAAGGCAAATATAGTTCAGTGCCAGAAGAAAGAGTGAAGTGTAGGTGTCCTGTCCCCCACTTGCAGGATGCCTGGTGCTGGAAGTCCAAAATGAGAAATCATACTTAGCTGCTTCTCTGCAAGAGATTCGAATAATCTTGTCTTGCCTAAGTACGTTTTAAGTTTTTTTTTTTTGATAGACACAGAAGAAATACTTCCTCTGCTGTACACTTTTCTTCTGACTTGTGACATTTTAACATATTCCTTTTACCCTTCCTCCCCCTCCCTCCTTCCCCCCCCCCGAATAAATTCCATGAATGAACGCAGGAGCTTTTGGTGATTTAGGTGGGTTTTTTGGTTGGTTAGGCTTTTTTTAAGCCTTACTTGGTGTTGGCTTGGGCTTCAGTAGCAGACTGAGAAGGACCTGTGTGTTTTCTGGGACTCTAATGGTAATCCGTGGAAGAGGAACGTCTGTCTTTGGCTGGCACTATTGATGACTGCAACCAGTGATGGTGATTTAGGGATGAAGCCTGTTGTACAATGTTATGATAGTGGTACAGGAGTACACATTCCCATCTAAATTATCCTCTGACCTATGAATATGTAAACTGCAAAGGAGAGAGAGTTAAGAGTTATAGTAGACATGGAGATACTTGTTTTTCTAAGTTTTGCTGGATTAAATAAAGGCATCTTGAAATGTTCTTTAAAACAGCATTAGCTGTCACAAACCAAATCTACAGTAGTTTCTGACTGTTGTCCTAGGTAGGTAGGTTCCTGGCGTATTTCCTGAAGGTACATTACTAGCCTTTGTGTATTATAGATGTCAACTTAGCTTTCTTTGATATGGCAAGTGTTTTTATATTTAGCCTCACAACTGAAGTGTTGTGGTCTGACGTCTTTTAATGAATAGGGAAATTGTGTGGAAAAAAGCTTGTGATATAAATGCTGCTGATAGATGGAGTAAAATGACTATGAAAAGTTTGTCCCAAGAAAGGGGCGTTGAAAAACTCCACAAAAAAAAAAAAAAGGCAAGCTTTAAATTCTTGGTATTTAAATTGTTTCATTATATTATTGTTTCTAAATCTAGGAAGACTGTGCTTGTGCTATGATTATTGAAACTGTGATAGCACTGTACTTCTTCCAACAGGTAACATTCCAGGCTTGCAGCATTTCTGAAGCAAGGTATCTGTATGATCAGCTGGCTACAATCTGTCCTATTGTGGTAAGTAATGGACTTGTATCACAGTAGCTCTTTATTGTGCAAAAGCCACTACCCCTAGGAAGAAACACCAGCACACATAAACACACACACAAAAACAACACAAAAACCCCAAACGAACGAATGAAAAAACCTTGCATGCTACTCACAAATTTTGGTTTCCTGGGAGAAGTGTCAGTCTCTTGCTGAGTTGTCACTTGAGCAGTATGCTTTATTTCATGTCCAAATGACACCTCAAAACAGGTGATACCTGTTTCTTTTCTTATGCCTGACTTTCCACATGCATGAGACTTTTGTTGACTAGTTCTAGAAATATATTTGGGGCAGCTTTTCATGAAAACAAGACAAGCTCACTCCTTAAAAGAACTTAAATTTTTTCAACTCTGGTCTGGTGTTACAAAGGGCTGCAGCTGAAGTTATTTCAATCTGTTCTTTTTGTAAGCATATGGTCATAAACAAGTGTTTATAACAGATGTTACAAAACTAAAATATTGGTCTGGTCTAGGTGGTGAGCACTCCTGCTCTGAGCGAGGTACGTTCCAGCTCTGTTGCTAAGGTGCTTGACCAAACAAAAATAAACAAAATAAAACAATTGCCAGGTGAACTTCCAGAGTTTGGAAGTGTGCCAGCAGAAGACTTGTTAATTTGTGACAAAATTGCTTCTGCTGCTGTCATCTTTATGCTTCTCAAATGCTGATCTGAAAAGATAATACACGTGGGGAGAGTCAGATGCCACTCCAGTCGTACTAAGCCTTTATTCAGGGCGTTTTCCAGAGGTAGCAGTGGAAAGAGCTGTGGCTGTATGGGCTTTGGCTGTACATTAAAATGAGGTACATACTTCAGTACTTCTGGGCTGGCAAGCTTCCCTTTCAAGTGGCGTTGTCTTTTGCTTTCGGTTCATGGGCTTGCCCGTGGTTTTCATATCAGGCTGCTTCATTTTAGATGGCGTTGAGTGCTGCCTCTCCATTCTACAGAGGCTACGTGTCTGACATTGACTGTCGCTGGGGCGTCATCTCTGCCTCTGTAGATGACCGGACGCGGGAGGAGAGGGGGCTAGAGGTAAGTGAAGTTACGTAGTAGATGTCTTTATTTTCAGCCAAAAATGGGAAATTGCCTTTAGCCCCAAATTCTGCTTGTGCTCATCGAAATCCCTAAGGAAGGAACGTGGCAGACTTTGTGGTAAATACAGGAGGGAGGGTGTAAACATTCACCTTGGTGGTACAGTTTACATTAGCAAATATATACTTTAGCTAGGTATGGAATCCCAGCTGAACTCGGCTCACTCCTCCACAGCTTGCTGAAAAGGTCACACTGTGATGAAACTTTCCAGTCTGTGCCTGAGCCCACAGGGTGCTGCTTTGGATTAAATAGCAGATGATGCTGGCAATCCAACAGTGTAAACTAGAACTGTGAAAAAAGAGCCCGTTGTCAGGACTTGAACTTCAGGAGTTACTCTAAGCAGAAATTGGCATTCAGAGCCCTTCCAAAATCATAGAAACTTAAAAAAAACTACTTGAAATGTTTCTTGAACTTCTCATTTTAACTAGTTCTTTAGCATCTCTAACAATTTACACATAATGAAACTGTAATGGTGTATGTTGCAATAAGTATAATAATGCTTTCCAGGTACTTGGGGTAATGGTATGTAACATAAGGAAAATTATTTCCACTTTTAAAGAATTCTAATAAATATGTCATGACTGGTTTTTCTCTCAGATACCTACATCTGCATACAAAATAGTCATAAATCTGGGATCACTTTCTATTAAGCCTGTTTAAGACTCATGCTTTGAATAACTTTTAATTGAAGCTGTAGGGGTTTCTTTAAAAAGGATAATAATTCTCACATAAGTGTAATTAGTGAGCAAAACTCAGGTAACGTTGTTAACAAGCTGTTAAAATATTGTATTCTTAAATTATATAGCCACTGAAGAACAACCATTATAGAATCAGTAAATCCAGATATGATTCCATAGACAGTTATCTATCTGAATGTGGTGAAAAATACAATGACATTGATTTGACAATAGACAAAGATATCTACGAGCACCTAATAAAGGAAGGTAAGTGTTTGCTTCATTATGAGCAGGTTACAAATTATGCTTTCAGAGTGTGGGGATATTTGACATTTTTTTTCTTTATTGTTTCAATTGTTGTGGGTACCTCAGAGTGAGTCCTACTCAGGAAGTAACTGTGTAGACTTTTAGAAAGTATTGATTTGTAAAAGAAACTGTCCCTAATTCCAGCTTGAGAAGCTCAGTGTTTGTGGCATTAATGTTTTATCTTTGTGGAGAGAGCAGAACTGCCTTAAGAAACGTGGCACAGAAGTGCATCAGAAAACAGGAAGAATGACAGCAGCCACGCCAGTATTCTGCTGCCATTTCCAAACAACCTGTTCTTCCCCCCCTCCCCCCCTTTAATTATTTCCTTCCTTCCCAAAGTCGTCATTTAAACTTTAACAGGATGTGGTGGGTTGAGGTAGCATTGCAGAGTTGGATGGTTTCTTCTTGTAAGACCAGTTGTTTCCTAGAGCCTGTTTTGCTATGTTAATTGGTTGAATTTTCATTTTGTAGGTATCGATCACCTTTTGGCACAGCATATTGCACACTTGTTCATTCGAGACCCATTGACTTTGTTTGAGGAGAAAATACATCTGGATGATGCAAACGAATCTGACCATTTTGAGGTGGTGTCTGATTTAGAGGAGTTTAATAAATATGCACATAATTGCTTGTTCTTTATAGTACTGCTCAGTTGAAGTATGACTATATTAGCTAAGAATTTATATCCTGAATTTTTCACTTCAGCTAGTTCTTCAGCATATGACTTTGCAGTTATAAACACATGTATTCTTGGTTTACCACTTATTTAGGAGGAGGTGTGACTTATACTTCAAACCCAATAAAATACAAAGAACTCAAACTATAGCTATGTATACAAGTGTTATGGGGAACTGTCTATTTTTAGAGCTCCCTAAAAACTGTTCTGCATGACATTTACATAAAAATGTCTCTTTTATACAACTGTATGAAATAATAACTATGCTAACAGTAATACTACATATTTTTATTTTGGGATGTATCAATCCCTCATTAAAAATAATAATAAAAAAAAAAAATCTAAATTTCAGCCCCCCAGTATCTTCTAAGTAATCCTCAAACAAAATAGCCTGACAAAGTGTTAACATATTTGCTCCTAGCATGGGTAGTTTCACTGTGTTTTTTAGGAAGTCAGGCCACTTAGCTTGGAAGCACTTTTCTCACTTGATGGGCTCTTCCAGCAAAAATATTTGGGCTCTAATGATCTGCATATTTTTCTTTGATTGTATTATAGAACTGTGCGTGTCTTGATTATGACAGAATATTTCCTGTGCTTTGCAGAATATTCAGTCTACAAACTGGCAGACAATGAGGTTTAAGCCGCCTCCCCCAAATTCAGATATTGGATGGAGAGTGGAATTCAGACCTATGGAGGTGAGGAAGGCAGCAGTGTGCACAACAGCACTTTTTCTTTCAGGTGGAAAAGCACCCGGCGTGCTGCCATCCCGTGTCAAGCCCCATTACTTAGGCTGCGTTCTCTCCCCTCTGAATTGCTGAGGGAAGTGAAGTGGACAACAGTGTTTAATCAGACATGGACTGTGGGAATGCAACTGACAGGAGAATCCACTGCAGCACAGCAAATGGATTTGGGGTGATGGGGAAAGGAATTAAGCTTGCATTAAACAGCAGTAAACAAAGCCCCATTTAGCTTCTAGAGACTGTATTTCTCCAGTACTTTTCCTGGTACTGAACAATTCCACTGTCACTGTTTTGTTTTTCACAAGTGCTTTTATTTTATAGTTGTCTTTGTTTCTGAGCTCTCTGAATTTAGTCCCTTTAAAGTGGACATTTAAAAGCTGTAATACATTAGTAATTACACAGAGAGCCTGAAGGTGCAGGTTATTAGATAGCCTTTTGAAATGCAAGTGTTTTGGCCTTGGATTAAAGGGTTGAGTTCACTGAAGTGTGTACATGCATTGTGCATTTGAAGGCACTGCTGATGATTCCAGCTGGTCTATCACCATCTCTGCTAGTAGAACGTGTGTGAATACAAGTACCAATATGAACTTTTGTATCACATTGTCTTAAACTCTCCCAGATGTTTGTCCATGTCCTTGAGTGTGTTCCCACTAAAGTAATTTAATCTCTAATCCTTTTGTGTTCAGGTCCAGTTAACAGACTTTGAAAACTCTGCCTATGTTGTGTTTGTGGTGTTGCTAACCAGAGTGATTCTGTCATATAAACTGGATTTTCTCATTCCTTTGTCCAAGGTAAGTATGAAAGATCAGGTCTGTTAGAGCCAAATGCAGCATATTTTCATTAACCCTGATTTTTATCCTCTGCAACCTAGGAACCAATATTTGTGTGCTCACAAAGTAGTCATTTTTATCTTTCAGTCAGTTTTCATCTGTACCAGTACTTTGAATTGGTTTCAACTCTACTACAGTATTATACAAATATTTTAATGCTGTCTCATGGAATTAAGCTTATAGACAAATACTGTGGGAATTTCTGTGGTGCCTAACAGTGTCTGACAACTGCAGAAATGTTGGGAAATACCTTTGTCACAAGACTTTTGAGACTGGGAAGGAGCATGCTTCCACCATTTCATATGTGGAAAACCAAAACCTCAGATATTTATTTTAACATAGAAACAAAACAGAGAATAAGGAGACACAGGCACGAGCTATCTGGTGGAGAGGGAAAGGAGGAGTTCAGCATGCTTACTGTTGCACAGTACCTGAGTGAAAGAAAAAAGTACTGTTGATTCTGGCCACAACTGTGACTTAGGTTCAGACAGACCAGCCGTGCAAAATGGGCTTTTCCCTTAATCTTGTCCTCACAATTGTTGAACTGTTTTGGGTGAAGCTGGCCTTGCATGTCCTCTTTCTGAGGCACCTGACCAGAAAGTGTCTTTTTAAATGGATAGTCCTGCAGTGTAACAGGTAACTGTAAAAAAGGCCTTGCAGTGCAGAAGACTTTCGACAGACTACTAGAAAATGTGCTGTATCCAGTCCTGGTAGCAACAGTAGTATCCTGCAGCTTTTATTGATGTTTTTAATTAAAATGGAGAAAAATACTGAAGTTGTAAATGAACAGTAATCATACTATACAGTTGATACAATTTCCAAAAGGATAAATTCTCTTTCTGATGTCAGGGAGTTCAGAATTTGTAAGTAATGCAGCAATTTAACACTCACAGTGCATTGTTGTTTGAAATGTCTCAAAACCACAAATTTTCTAACTAATGAATATCAGTTAAAACTGAAAAAGAGATCAGGTGCCGAAGGAACCTGAACAGAGTTGGGGGGCTGGGGAGGGCAAAAAATCGCTTGAGCTTGCCAAGCAATTTGGCAGGTAATGCAACACAGAATTGCACAACCATTAGTAAGCCTGCCTCTTTCAAATAAAATAATAGGGGTTTATGGGGCTAATCTCACACTAATCTTTGCTGTGTCATTGAGTGTGGTTGTACTCCCGTCAGTTAGGATTGGAGTTCTTTCAAACTTTCAGAACAGTCTGTTGTATAAATAGGTTTCATAACAAACTTTTGAAAACAAAGCTTTAAAAGGTAAGAAGTGAGTGAAGATTTTTGCATTGCTTTTAATTAAAGGTCAGACAAAAAAATTCAGCAAATTGTATCCCTTCTTCTTAAGGCAGTGCAGTAAAACCAATGTCCAAAAGCTGTGATGATAGTTTCTCGAGAACGTACCAGCCAAAGAACTTGGACAAAATCTTGCATCCAGAAAGACACAACAATTATGTCATTTGCAGAGCATATGAGCAGTGCTTTCTGGTTGTAGGCTTTCTGAGAAGCCAATAATTTGGAACTTCTTTACTAGCAGTTTATCTAACTATTTAGCATATGTTTGGATATGAAATAAATACATTTCCCATATGAAGTTACTGGAATTCTGTTTCTGAAAGTTTAATACAATGATAACTCTTCTCAGGGCTTCAATGATTTTGTTAATAAAAGCAGCAAACCAGGCTAGGGAAATACCAATTTTCTTCCGTACTCATTGAAATTGCATCTAAATAGACAAAGAAGTCTACCAGATGGGATGCAACCTGTTAATCACAGCTGTTCCTGTGTTTACATCCAAACTTAAAAGATCAGTGTAGCATGTTCTAGTGCAGTACCACTGCCTTTTCTGCTGGAGACTGCCTTTCATAGAGCATCATCTCTTTGTGGTTTTGTCTGGGACCTATGAAGAATGAAATAAATCTCCACAGCTTGGCGTGGTGTGATGAAGTAATAAGAAACGTAGTAGATGTTTCAACTAATGAGAACAAAAAGTGGGGGCTTGGGAGAAGCCTAATTTTCTAAAATGTCACAAATCTCTGAAATTATTCTTTTGACAGGTGGATGAAAACATGAAGGTGGCCCAGAAAAGAGATGCTGTCCGGCAGGGAATGTTTTACTTCAGAAAAGATATTTGCAAAGGTATCTCAGGAAGCAATCTGATTCACACTGCTGTGGATGTTTGGGGTGTCTCTTGCCTTCTGACTGTTTCTTCTTTTCCATTTGTCACCCATGAAGGTGGAAACACGGTTGTGGATGGATGTGGCTCTGCACAGAACGGGACAGGCACCGATGTGGAGGAGTACACCTTAATGAGCATTGATACAATTATCAATGGGAAGGTCATAGCCTCTTCTACCTGGAACACACAACTTCCCCCTCCATTCTGACCTCCCAGAAACCACACCAAGTGTGTTTATGCTGGCTCTCTTCTCTTACACAGGAAGGAGTCTTTCCTGGTTTGATCCCAGTTTTGAATTCCTATCTTGAAAACATGGAAGTGGATGTGGACACAAGGTGCACCATCCTGAACTACCTAAAGCTAATAAAAAAGAGAGCATCTGGTATGTTTGTTTGACACTTTTGGACCTTGATTTTCCTGGCCTTTTTCCACTTAATATTGGGCTGTTCTCTAGTTTTCAGTGGAGTAAAACTGGTGGCAGCTGTGGCTGTCTGGTTATGTGTTGAATCATAGGAGCAAAGGACTTGAGTGTGCTCGCTGGCTTAAATCTGATCCTCTAATTCCTATTATAAATGTTTTTGTGATCTGTTTTAGAACTTAAATTAGGAATTATTGTTACAGTGACACTACCATCTAAGCTGTAGTTGTGTCTCAAATCCAAGATTTCTCTTCAGCACCACTTCCTGCTGCTTTTGCCAGTGTATGGTCCACTCTGTAGTAGTTTGCTCATATACTAATCCCCTTTGTCACTTTGAGTGTTTTAAGAGTATCTGAAGCTGGGTCAAATAGCTTAGTGTTACTGGTGTGACTCCAAAGCGTGCTGCACCAAAGCATTCTGAAGTCTAAATTCTGATGTGCATGTGCTAGAGCATGGGCCCTAGTCTTCAGCTCCCAGATGAGAAGCATTTCTGTAAGCAGCAATACTTCTTCAAGGCAGAGCAAACCAGGTACTCCCCCTGTGTTCATCACATCAGTGTTTTTGAAGACAGGCAATATAATGACTTTTTTATGGTCCTTTTTAAAAGACAGCAGTGTAACAAGTACAAAAATGCAGGCTTAACTTTAATTCAGAACTGGGTGTGTAGCACAGACTACAGCAGCTTTGTACCTTTCTGTGTGCAAATCCCTCGTATGCCTGTCTTGCTGTAAATTTAACTAGACACTTCATTTTAGTCCCTAAGACATTCCCCTTCTCCCCCCAGTTTTAAAGTCTTGCATTTCTTTTTAATTCTTTAAAATCTCTGTAGAAGCTTTTAGGTAAATACCATTTTAAAGCTGAGGTAGGAATCAAGTCTTTCTCTTGCCTGGTAATTCACTACTTTAACAGTACTTCAGAATATTAACAAGTTTTAAGTAATTACAGCTTTCAGAGTAAATGTTCTTTCCTAAGGCTGTTTGTAGGAGGCTTCTGCCCATCTGGTGACATAGACAGGGATTAAATGCCTGGCTTAATTGAGGGAGAGATGAGAAACTGCCAGGAAGAAAACGTCTGTGGCACATCAGCCCTCAGAATAGCAAAGCTTTCAAAATATTCCATTGTTTGCTGTTGGGAATTTTCCCTTCAGAAAAATGCTGTTGAAAAACAAACAAACAAACAAACAAAACAAACAAACAAAAAAGAATGCATAAGTCTTATAGAGGCTTTTTCCTAAGAGGTAGTGACCTGGGCTTGACCCTGCAGTCAGTGTACTCCTTTCTGAAGAAAACTTTGCTAACCGGTGTGAAGTTGCAGGCTTGTGTGCTTGTACAGGCCTAGAAGGTATGAGAGAGAGGGAGGTAGATAGTACAGGGTTTTTATCTTAACTCTGAACTGAAATAATTACACTTTTTAAGAACCAGAAATCACAGAATAAAAAGCCTTAGGTATTGTATTACTGTGCCTTGATGTTTCTCAGTTGTGAGCTTTGGACTATTCCAGTTTACTCTCAGTCTCAAATCAGACGGTCCAAACTGCAGCCTGTCTATGAGACATGTCCACAGAGAGTGGCCATTTTTCAGATTTCTCTCCTCAGATGGTGAACAGAGATAGTGACACCATAGCTGCTGTGGCTTTAACCTTGCCCTGACGTAATTCATCTGTGCTGCAGTTCCATCTTCTCTTGCAGTGCAACTAGGGACTGCCTTCCTGGTCTCCACCTAGCTGGTGTGTGAGTGCCCCACTCACTGAGACTGCAGATTTTTCTAGGCAGGCAGCAGCACCTGACCACCAGCAGACAGTAATGAAAGCAGTACTAAGGTAGCAGCATCAAGTGCTCATTGTCCTGGCATGCTCTTCTGGGTCCTGGCTGCCTGCAGTGTGGGCACTTCCTCAGCTGAAGGTGGTGTGATAATCATGGTGCTTGATGACCATTCACAAACATAATTTCCATGATTTTTCCATGTTTTCCAAACATGATTTTATTGTTGCCTTACCCTTCTTGAAGCAGTTTCGCTTTTTGTCCCCATAAAGTCATACAATAAGAAATGCCACAATTTTACTGTGTGCTCTTTGAAAAACATAATTCCTGTACTTTTGCATGTTTAAACATTCTTCACAGTTATTTCATGGTGTGTCTTCTAGTTCCTGCATTGCAGGACAATGTTTCTCTACTCATTTCTCATCAGCATTCACAATTTTGCAAACTTCTCAAGTACGATGTTGTTTCTGAACTTGTGATTCCTTTGTCCTGTCTCCCCTCACACCTTTTGTCGTTCTGTGGTGCCTTTTCCCCATATGTTCTTTGAGAGCTGGACGCTGTGTTCACCACGAAGGTGCTGCAGGTTGACACTGGTACAAAGGATGGGGAGCAACTGGGCTGCCCGACCACTAGGTGTCTGTGGTGGTGTGAGCCGGGCCGACCTGTCCCCTCTCCCACTGACAGCCTGCAGCAGCTCTCAGTCCAAAAATGTCTCTCTTTATGCTGTGTTCATCTCCTGGCCCATCCGATTTTCTTGCAGGTCACTTGCTTCTCGTTGGTTTGAGAAGGTCTTCCAGTGAGATTTTACTGTCTTCAACAAATGATGTTTCTTGGGTATTTTTTTTTCTGCCCTCTTTTTATATAGAAGTGTAAAATCTGGCCTCATTTCTTTAAAATGTGACTTCTGGCTTTTGAGGGAGATTTTGATTTCCAACAACCTTTTTTTTTTATTATTCTGCTTTTATTTCCTGTACTTTCCACAGTTTTTCTGATTTGTGTTTGTGTTCCTCTGTTCAAAACCACTCATAGGCTATCTTTAAAGTCTTGGGTGATCTTCATTATTTATGGGCGTGTTCCTCCTTTCATTCCCTAAATCGATTCCTCTGCCTTTTTATGTATTATAAACCAGATATTTCTTAAACCAAAGATTTCTGTAGTGGAAGCCCTTGGCTCTTTGTTTTCTTACAAGGAAGCTGACGTTCCAGTAGCAGTGAAAGTTTTCCTAGGCTCCGAGCATCCCATCAGCCTACCTGAATATCTTACTGTCAGAGCTACCCTAAAGTTGTGCTAGTTGAGGTTTGCTCACACGCTGCGTTCAGGAGCAAGATTCAGTAGCCTAAATGCGGTTGTCCAGCTGGCCTCCAGCTGCTGCCTCACAGGGTGCATGTCTCCTGCAATTGGTGGGCGTCATTTGAAGACCATTACTAGAAGAGTTGGGGGCCTTCAGGCACCTGCTGGCTGCCCCATGGTGAGCTGTACGGAGTGCAGCAGAGGCAGCCTGGACAAGTCAGGAGTTGGTCTATTTGGGAACCTGCCTTTTTTTTGTTTTGCTAGGGGAGCAGCCAGAGGAAGAATAAGTGAGGCTAGACAGAACAAAGCTAGCAGCTGAGGTGGATAGATCAACTCCAAAATTATTTTATGTATGTAGTTGTTGGAGTGATGTCTGTTGGCTCATCTCTGTTGGCCAGTTTCTCTGTTAAATGGCATGTTTAAGACCTCTTCCTGTACAATCCGTTGGTAACATCTGTTCCAGTAGCTACTTCTCTCTTCACTCTCTCGTTGCGACATCTGAAAGTTTGAAGATTGCACCAGACAAGTGGGTTTTAGACTGTCAGCAGTATGTCAGCTTAATTATGCCTGCAGTTTAGCCGTAGTTTTATTTAAAAAAATACACATAGGAATGTGTTTCTATGAAAGCATGGATTAATCATTAATTGTGTGTATAATGCTTTGTGTAGTACTGCCATATTAGATGTATAAACTGTGAAATCTTATTTCCCCTTGCCCACAGGAGAATTAATGACAGTTGCTCGATGGATGAGGGAATTTATTGCACAGCATCCAGACTACAAGCAAGACAGTGTGATAACTGATGAAATGAATTACAGCCTGATTTGGAAATGCAACCAAATTGCACAAGGCCAGACAGAGTGTCCTGAACTATTGGGGGTAGGATTTAATAAGAAACAAAGTGGTAACAAAACTGGCTCGTTGTAATGAATGAATGTTTCTTAAATAATAGAAAGTTTAAGCCTTTTAGCAAAGCACTAGCAAAGATACTGTGAATCTGGTACAGTTTCATGGTGTGAAGACCAAAACAGGGATACTGCACTATAAAATGGGCCAATCTGCCTAAATATTCGTTTAAGGCATCCTAAAATGGGCATATTCTTATTGTTAAGGTTTATACAATGTACATGTAAATAGTAAAATATTTTTATGATTAACATCAATGTATTTTAATAACACTGTATCTAAAGTTATTGTGAATTAGCTTGTAACTTTTTTATGCTTATTCTAGAAAGAAAAATTGTCCTGAACAGGCTTGTAAATGTAATGGTACTTGTATATTATATGCATTCCAGCTACTGAATGTTTACTGTAATTTTTTTAACCTGGAATGTGTTAAGTAATTTACCTTATTGTCTAAGAAGGAAAAAAAAAAAAATAGTCTTTTGGACATACCTGAATCACAGATACTTCTTTCTTCCATTTGGGTTTTGAAAGTACATAATAACAGACAAAAAACGCATGTGTGTCCTACATGTTAATCTTTACAGCAGTTTCTCAGTTGCCACAAGACCTGCATCCACTCATAAACTGTAAAACTTGGAGGAACAGATCTGTTTTCATTCAGATAACCTGCCTGTCTCTTGATCAGAACTGTGCTTGGAAAGGTCTGCCATACTCGTATATAAGCTGCATTTCATGGAGGGAAAAAAAAAAGGGACTAAGATGCCCCTTCTCCCAGATGCCTCACTTTTTCCTCTCTGGAGTAAATTTGTATGCTGTTGCAGTTGAGAAATTTTCCCAATGATTTAACAGAAAAGCAGTGATGGGGAAGATGTGAAAGAGAGGAGGAAATGAGAGCTGAACATGAAGCCCTCTTTATAAAGGAACCAGAGAGAATTGACTGGAATTGCAGCACTCCATAACTACTGCTTCTTCCATGTTGCTGCGGTTCCCACAGCTGACAGCGGCTGCAGCACAAAACCAAGGACCTGTTGATTCTTCCTAGAGGTTGAGTTTTTCATTTGTCATTCATTATTATAAATTGGTTTTGTCAGCATGTTTATTTCCTATTAGATACTTTATGTAGATAACTGAGGTACCTACGTAGTAGGTACAGGCAACTTAATCCCCTCTAGCAAATAGTTAAAAAGAAATCATGGAGTGCACTAATCCTTTGAATGAGGAGCCAGTGCTGGGAGTGACTGTAAAGTATTTAAAATTTAGCCATTGCTACTGTAAATAAAGCCACCTTAAGGGGCCTTTTTGATTTAGCTTATTAACTGACTTCTAGAAGTGAATTGCGTTATGGGTAGATAATGCAAAGCTTGATGCAAGTATATATAAATACCTAAGGTGTAATGATTTTTTTTTAAAAAAAAAAAACAAACTAATGGAGAAACTGCAATGAAGAGGTGCACTAAGAAGCAGCTTTTATGTACTGACATTAGACTTTGTTCTGTGTTTACAGGTGTGCTTTAGAGAATAAAAAGAATGCTTTTTTCCTGCGGTGGTGAATTTGTTTTAATCAAAATGTAGGCATATGCTAATTTAGTTTCTGTAATAAGGAAATAAAAATAAAATTTGCAGTATGTGTTGGTCACTTGCATGACTTGATACCACATTCTCAGATTCAAAAAAAAGAAGAGTGGCGTACCTGGCAAGTACAGCTCATCTTAGCCAGACTGGCTTTGCTCACGGTGAAAGGCCTCAGGGCAAATGGTCAATTACTCCTGCAACAGAGAAGTCCTTGTTGTCCTCATGGTAGTGTCTGTCTAATTGCACATCATCAGCTGCTATGCTTGGAAGAACCCTAAAAAACTTTTTAATGCTTTCCCAATGGTACTGTATCAGCTTCTGTACTTTTTTCCTTTAAATTGACATTAAATCACCCTTCTGTCCTGTGTGCTTAAAAGCTGGGGCTAGAAGTTTCCTTCATGAGTTATTGTATGCATGTTTTCAGAAAGGATGGGAAAGATCAAACACAGAACTGCTGCTTGTTTGTTGAGGTGTCCATGGTTGCAGTGTCTCAGCAGCTGACATTGCCCAGATGAAGAGTTATGTGCTCTGGCCTGTTCTTGATGGTGTGGGGTGGTGAAGGCTTTCACAGAGGGCAAGCTGGAGCTTCTGCAGGGAGGGGCAAGCTGTGCCACTAGTTTTGAACATATCTTAGAGGTGGCTGTGTGGTACCTGCACCCATGCCGAGGTGGAGAATCAATCCCTGCGCCAGGCCTCAAGCTCTGCCTGACCTTTACCAGAAGGCATGAGAAAACTCCCTTAAGCTATGAATTCAGGATTTTTGGTCCTGTAGTCATGAAGCACTCTCAGGGAGATAATGACGTTTCAGGAGCCACGTGGGCAAAGGGAGGGGAAGAGGCACCAACCACCTGAGGTGAAACAGGGTTGATTCCCTGCCCAAAGATCTGAGTAATGCGTCAGCCGTGGCACTTCCCGTGATAGCTGTGCTCTGGCCCCCGTTCAACCCCACAAATTTGTTTCAGTTCTTCCACTCAGTTTTCAGCTAGAAGATCCTGTTCCAATTTCCCAAAGTCTCAAAGCTATGAAAAATATTCTGATGCCCAGTTTTCTTTTGAGTGAGAAAATAAGAGTACGCGTGTCTTTATTTCTGGCTTATTTTAGCTATGTTTTTTGTCATGGTCTCTTCAAAACGTGTCTGCTCCTGTGTGTGTGCACAGAGCTGTGCAAGCAGTTTGTCTTTCTGGGAGTGGTGCAGCAAGAGCTTCGTACAATCCTTTAGTCCTTCAAAAGCAACCTGACCTCTGTGAAACAAGCATCATGCAGCTTCTGGAGGCTATGCTGAAAGATGACCTAACTTTTTGTTTGCAGTAGGTTTGTTGAATATTTTTAGTGTATTACGTTCAATATACTGATGTGATTTTACAGCAAATTTGAGAGAGACCTTCTGCTACTTCGGAAGCCAGTCACAGGAGCGACAGCTATATGGATGGCGTGAGCTGGGCTTCAGCAGAAAAGGGTGGTTCCAATCCTGTCCCTTATCAAGAGCCAGGCCTGTGCTTCTGACTGCCTCTTAAACTGAGCAGCGTGTGTGCATGTGCATATATGCCAGTAAGAGTGTTCTCTGGTCCAGGGGAGCAGATCAGGGGACAGATACGCAGTAGTTCCCCTTGCTGCAACGAGTGTTGGAAGACAACTGAGCAGTGTGAGACTGTGATTTACAGGAGGGCAGAAACAGGAATGTGCAATTTGAGCATTAGAGGAGAAACCTTGGGTCTTCAAAGTCTGAAAGACCTGATGGTTTGTTGGCGTTTTCCTGGAATGGCTTTGAAGAGAAACAGGAACAACATTTCTAAATGGTGAGCTTTGTGATGAGCTCCTTATACCCTGGTGAATTAGGGGGACAGTATGGCCCCTGCAGTGAGCAGGTACAGAGTAGGAAGTTCTGTGACTATCGTGTGAGCTAATCCAAATCTATCCACACAGCATTGTCTATCTTGCTACTCTAACCTCTTCATCGTCTTAATCAAAGAGCTCCAGAGTGCCTAAAACTGAGCGTTTCGCAGGAAGGAGATCTAGCTGAGACTGAAGGAGAGCTGATCCATGATGTCTCCTACCTGTAACTCTGAACCACTAGCACCAAGAGGAGTCCAGGGCCCCAGTTTTATTGCTGAGCATGACGCTATAGGTATGGGGCATCACTTGGGTCAGCTGTCCCAGCTGTACCCCTTCACGACCTCTTGCCCACCCCCAGCTTTCTGGCTGTGAGACAGAGTGGGAGCCAGCGATGGCCCCAGCACTGTGCTGGCACTGCTCAGCCCCTCTCCTTGTGTGTGGGGAAACTGGCACTTAGCTTTTTCTCATTTAAAACATCGTATAATGAAAATATTGTACTGACACAAAATAAACAAAACACCTCACAGCATCATGAGGTAGCAAAGCGCTTTCCAAATCCTGCAGAAGAAATCAGGGACAGGCAATGAAGCAAAGGGAAATAAAATGGCTTTTTTAAGGTTACACAGTACTAAAGAAGTAAAAATCCCTCTGCACACCCTCCTGAAAATTTTGTCTTTTCTGGAAAAATACTAGAGCCATGGGCTGACACTGGTGGAGGTGGTACAAGGATTTGGTGCTGGATGGGACCACCTTTGGAGGGCCACAAAGGGAGCCATGGCTGCTTGAAGCCCAGACAGAGGTAGAGCTCCAGAGGCTGCAAATTTAGGGCAGTGATCCCTGATAAGAGCATCCAACTTCAGGATTTCTCTGCTTTTAACCCAGCCTGTTCTGCTTCGAGCTGTGCTCCCTGTACACAGGTATAACTGCAACAGGGGTTTCCATTGCTTTTTTTCCATCATCTATGTAATGGTTTGAAACCTGCTGCCCCTGGTGGGTGGAGATCTGAAACCCTAAACCAGGTACAAGCCTGAATGAAAGGGGCGTACACCTGTCCTATTCCCACTCCCCTTTTTCCTGTCTTCAGGACTTCCTGCCAAGGTCTATAAAAGGGGCGAGAAAGGCACACCTCTTCTCTCTTCCTCTTGCTCTCTTGTTCTTGCTCCTTTGACCTTCTACCTGGGCACACGCTGCTCTGCTGCTCCCTGTGCTACACGTGGCCGTGGCCATCTTGGAGACCTGGGCCTGATCTACAGACTCTTCCCTGCCTCCATCCACGTGCAAGGATTGTACATCCAGCTTCAGTCCACCTCAATCCAGCGAGATCCAGCACCGGGAAGCCTCAGCATAGCATTTGGGTTTTGTATATTTGGAAGTTTAATCTTCCTTGCCTTGTTGTTCCTACAACCCCCCTTACCCTGTTAAACCTCTACCCTTCTTCTTTTCTGTACTCTGTTAAACCCCTACCCTTCTTCCTTTCTGTTCCCTGTTAAATAATATATTTCATTTTGTTAATTTTCAGTTTGGTGCAAGGTTTTCATTACCCCTGCCTTCCTTATTTACCTCTCTATTTGGGAAACTGAGGGATAAGGGAGGTGGGACACAATTCTGCCTTCTAACCGGGACAGAACAATCTAATTTAGGAAAAATTTAAAATGTTATCTGTATTTTCTTTTGAAGGCTGTAACAATTCCTGTGGGAACTGGGTAAAACAACTCAGTGAGTCCCAAACCCCTGTGATTGCCACAGCACTGCTTTCGCAGGCTGCGGCAGGCCAGTAGTGAGATCTCCCCTGCTCCTGGCACATGGATGTAGTTAGCAGTACTCTGCAAAGACTAGCAAAAAAAAACACATTTGAAGATAGATTTGATGAGTGTTTGTGGTAGATCAGGATCCACCAAAGCCACTCTATAACTTCACTCCTCAGCTCAACAAGGGAGAGAAGATATAACCAAAGGCTTGTGGGTTGAGGTAAGGACAGGGAGAGCACTCACCAATTGCCACCACAGGCAAAACAGACTTGACGTGGGGAAAATTAATTTAT